AACGGCTCGTAGGTGGAGGCCACCCCTCGCTCACTACGGCTGATAAAACCGTCAATTTTCCCCATTAGCAAAGAATGGTCGATCCGCAGACCATTTAGGCAGGAGAGAACACGTTTCATATAGTCTGAATATCATAGGTGGGGTTGATAGATCAATCACCTTGCCATCTTTGTAGAAAATCCTGCATTTGACCGGCCGACTGACTGGTGTTTAGCGGATGGGACGAGCTATACGAAATGTTCTTATCGCCTGATCTATAAAACCACTAACCTGGGAGTGTTGAATGCAGCTGCTGTCTCCATACTTCTGCAGTTCCCCTCATCTGTCAATTTTGGTGGACTACGTAGATGCGTGATGAGAAAAGCTGCATTTACTTTACCTAGGAGAGGGGTGGGCTGAGTCCAAAACTGGTCCTGGAGACATTGGCGACGGTACGGGAGATTCCATACGAATTCGCTGAGGTAAAGGGAGTTCCACAGAACTATCATCTGATGTGAAAGCAATGGGTACCCTTGAAGAGTAAGGAATAAAGTGATATCTCACCTGCGGCGAACGGAATAGCGCTCGGCAAAGGGCGTCATCGGTAATGTGTCATCCGACGACGCTGACCTGCCGGTTTCACCGACGAACTTCCTTTCGAAATCCATTGCATCCTTCAGGTTATCTGACACCATAAGAGTATACTCCGAATTTACCTGAGTGATATACCTCATGGAATTCGTAACTTGGAACACTATCCTCCAATTTCGAACCTTCCAACAGCAATCTCTGATATACCTGGAAGGTTGACGACTTGGGCCAATGCACTCTTTTATCATCAACCAGCCAGTTACTGTGGACGATGGCCACAGATTTATCACACACGAAAACAACTACTAAGTACATCTAAAAAAGTCAGCAGTTGACATTACGCGGATTTATTATTCATTATAAATTTCAAGTACCAGACACATATCAAAAAGTGAAATATCAATAGTTAAAAGTGTGTAATATGGGTACGATTACATGGTAATGGGAAAGCACTGACAAACAATGCTACTAACAGGAAGTTTTACAATATCATCGTGCAAACTGTCAACGGAATATACGTACAGGTGGTTAGACCGCATGGGTTTGCTGAAAAATTGACACGGGTTTTTAAAATACTTCACACTAACCGATGCCTCACATATGTTGACAATTTTAACCGGTTTACCATCGGCGATGGCGATGTTGTTTGGTGGGCTGGTAGAATAGATAATGTGGTTCAACAGAACAGCATTTTTGCATCCACGGAACCGGTGAATTGGTTGTCCGACGTCATCTTGTATGTGGGCAGTGGACTCCGGGTTGTCCGAAGTAATCCGCTCGCACAAACGGCGATACAACTGCTGAGCAGGATTTCTGGGACCATGAATACTAAATGTCAAGTTTCGTAGATAAGATTCAAAGGGGAAACAGGAAAATTTGTCCAGCGTCCCGTGAATAAGAACATCTTTGGGTAGGTGAATCAATGAGTGGACGTTGTACGTAATATTTGAAACACCGTACAAAGAAGAGAATTGTTGAACAAATGTTCTCAAGATAGATTCCACGAAAGCATTGCATGACATATACAAAACTGGATGGCACAAAATATAAATAGCAACCGAAAGAAGCATGAAATGCTCATACGCATCTTCGCTCAACAAGCCCTTAAGCAAACAGGTTCCAAGTACAATAAGAATGTGCGGAATTCCGTGGCTTCCCACCGGTCAATATTATTAACATGGCGACAAAGCCGCTGGAAATCACACGGACTGGTGGCGTGCGAATGGATTATCCGATTGCCAAGGTCCTCACAGGCACTTTTATCCAAGCGACCAAATGAATTGCGCGGACCATGCAACCAGATATCGAGAAGTTTATTCATAACACCTAAACAGACAAGGTGTATATAGTCTAATGGGAACGCCTGAACCATGTCAATGGGGAGGGAAACAAAGGGACTCACGCCGATGTGATGTTTTCGATGCCGCAAAGTACGAAATGACTCGTCGTCACGAGGCTTGCACTTAACATAGGGAAAAGTCATTCTTTTTTCAAAGTGCAATCCACGTTGGATACATTTATCACAGCCAAAGTAACCGGTTGGACCTTTCACTTGTTTAATGAAACTCCGGGCCGGAGTATCACAGATCACTAACAACAGTCGGCACTTAATGCGCCTGTCGCCAAACGGTATTCCTTCGGTTAACGCTCTGCTCAACTCCGTCAAGCATTCACCCAGGAAAGTTGAAACGTTGGACGGTTTTCCCACACCGCAATAAAAACCGACGGTGACAACTGGCAGACAGACGGGCGTGATTACTCTCACTAGTATTGGCCACAGCTGTGTATTTGATGAACGATAAACCGAAGTAACATCACAATTCACCTGAATGTCGATCTCGTCAGGGACTGTGGTAATGTTCCTTAGCTGTCTCGTCAGAACGTTGTTCAGTCCAACGTGAATGTAAAGCCCGTTATCCAAATTCGTGATAGGACACTCCCTTGGTGTGCCCAACAACGTTCTTGGGTCCCGACAAAGATTCGGCATATGTTCACTGATTGCTCCCAAGATTCCCCTTTGTTGGACCAAAGACAGTCGAAAACGAACAAAAGCCTTTCCCAAAGAGTTCAAATGTGAACTTCCATCGTCAGCAGACTGTGGTGAACGTCGTAAGCAGTGCAAAGGAATAATTATTAACGGAAGTTAGTGCGCCAGAAACGAAACCAGGACCTGTTATTCGTGGCTGTCCTTCAGAGATAACGGCTTCTTGAGTGGGAGCCTCAACTGTTGCGAGCAAATGAGTCAATATTGGTATTCAAACGACTAAATTACTCATAACTGCTGGCTGCGTTGAAGAAGTCGTCGGAATAGTGTCCTCTTGCAAGCATGCCTCACGTTGTTGGCCGAACGGCGAGTTCCTTGGAATCATAGAGCCGCATTCAGCGGCCGCATTAATAAGCGAATTCCCTAGAATGAAAGTAACAAGACAACGATTACTCTCACCTGGAAAATCCAACTTTGGGCAACGCACGCGGTGCTTCCACAGTGTGGCTCCTCCACAAACAGCACACTTCACGGAGCTAAGTTCTTTCGTCTTCATACGATATCTCTTCCACTTAGTTATTTTAGCCATTGCAACTGATTAATAGGAAGCAGTTTCTAAAATGTACCCAAACGGTTCAAGATTACGGACAGAACCTCGTGACACGTGCGACAAGGCAGAACCGCTTCGAGATTTGAATTTAGCCTTCACTTGATTAAAACAAAGACCCACAATTGCACTGCAATTCACGGACATAAATATGAGTAAAAATTGCACATTATTACTCACAAGGCCATTTGAAGAATAGTTATGTGACTACTTTTATAAATTGTCCACTATTTCTCTGCCCACTTGTTACCGGCATGTCAGCGGAATGTTGCGGTGGGCAACGTGCTACATGGGAACACACTCCATGGAAAGGCTTGACCTCAGTTGCATTTTGAAGACAGGGCGCATCAGTAATTGACCTTGTGTTTTCTGCGCCCAGTCGTACTCCATCATTAGTGATTAAATGGCCCAAAAACTGAATGGAGTTCACGCGAAACTGGCATTTCTCTATGTCTAAACCCAAGTTCAGTTCATTCAAAGGCTGCTGGACTGCACGAAGGCGCTGTAACATACGTTTGAACAATGCGTAGCCAAATTCACAAAGGATCCCGAAATCAAAAGGCCATTATCCGTGATATTCTACGATACTAGATTATTGAATGAATAATGACACAAAAAAGATACAAAACCTCAATTATGAGATCGCAAGGACTCACAAACGAGAAACGAATTGCGGCGTGCGAGCGAAGAGCACGTGCATCGCGCAGGTCCAGAACAAGGATATGACAAAGTAGCGCTCTGGGCGCAAACAAACAACAACTGGTCCAGAAAAACAAACAGTGCTTAAAGACACGTCAATAGTGTAGGCCAGTGATTGATGTTAGGAAAACATGGAACTGCAACGGCCTTGGGGGGGAGGGGATTTTCTACGACCGGTCCTTAAATCGCCACCAAAATCCTCCCGAATCCTTAGCGGAGTCAAAGGTTTGGTATAAAGGTGTTGAATCCTCCTACCTACCTAGGCCCTGGTGTCAGTACAAATGCCTAATGCTTGTCGTCAAAGTTCCACTCACTGTCGCACCTAATCCGGTGGCCACACCGACGCGAGGTTATTCTACGTCTTCCACGAGAACAACTGACCGATGGCGGGCGTGAAGGTGAAATACAGATGCTGTCCTTGGAAAGGCCGTCATGCGCTGGCTGTATGTGCTTGTGTGTGTGTGTGTGTGTGTGTGTGTGTGTGTGATGTAATCGCCGCTGCTGCCAGTGGCTTTCGACGCACCAACGTCTAGTCATCCAACCAACGTGCACTCGGAAGCACGAGACTCGAGTCTCACTCTTGTTAGAGCTCATCATTGGTGCCTATATTCACCGCCACACCCAGGTT